TTTTCCCTTTTCAGGTGCTTCCACGTCTACAGTCGTCAGCGAAGGTATGAAATTCATATTTTTATACCGTATATAGTATATTGATTGTGGTGATTTGATGAATATATGAACAATATTAATTACTCGCAACCTCGGTTTTAAAACATTGCCTGAAATCCTAACGTTTACATTTGAAAAATATTTTAATGCTGTTTTCATGTTGTTTCACTAATGTTTGTGTTTTGAAAACCTGATAAACATAATCGAGTAATCTTTAAGCGTGGGTTTATAGTGTGGAATGTTCCTAATTATTCCTGTTAGACTTATTTTCATTTGATTTAGAACTATTAATTTATGTCATTGTACGAGCATTTACGCTACATCTGTTTTATAACATTCGCTAGCGTTTTATAGTGAGGAGAAAGACTTTGAAATCCTAACGTTTACATTCGAAAAATATTTTCATGTTGTTTCACTGATGTTTGTGTTTTGAAGACCTGATAAAAATAATCGAGTAATTTTCATAGCGTGGGTTGATTATGTTGCTATGTGAAATTTGCATGTTACTAATTTATTCATGTTAGACTTATGTCGATTTTTTATGAATCGGGTGTTTGTATGACAAAATTAGTGCGAAGCTCTAGACAAAAATAAAGAATCGGGTGTTATTTCTATAGGACCCCAACCGTTCCCTCAAGATCCCCTATTACCCCCATCTAACCTTCCTTCCCAACTCCACCGAGATCATTGGCGTGCTATACGTACGCGACAGAGTCGAGACAACCGAGTGCAAGATTGGTACAACTATCGTCTAGGCTCAGCGAATATGGGTCAACTTGTTGATGATATAGAGCGTATATTTGAAGATCAATCGACTGTCTTTAAGTTAAATCTATCTTTTGGTTTCGTATTGTTTAACAACGAGACACAGCAAATGCAATACCACCACCCCTCAGCAAACAACAACCGTGTTTTCGACTCCCCATTCCAGATCCATAATCGCGAGGATTTGGTCCAAGTGCGTACAGCGTTGGAAAACATCGACATTCATGAATGGGCTCGACAACAGCGTCTCAACTCCAAATGGATTGTCATGGATTTCACCAACGTTACCTTCTACGTCACCAAACTTCGAGACCATCCCATAGGTCGCAGTGTCCGGCTACCCAAATACGTACTGGATAATCCTGCCATTGTGTCGCTCGACTGTAGCAAGCAAACGGGACTACCATACGAAGATAAACTTTGTTTCTTCCGTTGTTTCGCCCTACACCGTGGTTGTCATCCCCATAACCTAGAACGTGATACTCAACATTTTTATGAACAATATTCGGAAGATGACGATTTTGACGGTGTTACACTAGAGGAACTACCGGAACTGGAAAAGTTATTCGAACTGAACATTTTCGTGTATCGCCTTACGGAGTTACATGACGAGGACGAAGACAAGACCTCCATTGTGGCTCAACTCATACAGCGCTCCCACCGTAGATATGCCAATTCGATGTATCTGAACCTCTACGGCAGCCATTTCAGCTATATTAAGAATTTGGCCATGTATTCCAAGTCCTACTGTTGTTCCAAGTGTGACAAAATGTGGAAAACAGCGAGAGCCTTAAACCGACACGAGCGAACCTGTGAAGCAACTATACGTCATATCTTCCCTGGCGGAGCCTATAAAGTTCCACAATCTATCTTCGACTTGTTGGCCGATGAAGGAATCGAAATCCCTGAAGACCTCAAGTACTTCCCTTATCGCGCCACCTTCGACTTTGAATGTTATTTTAAACATACATCTAACCATTCAAGAAACACCGAAAAGCTCACGTGGCAAGCCGAACATATTCCGCTGAGTGTCTCCGTATGTTCGAACGTCCCTGGCTACACCGAACCCAAGTGCTTTGTTTCCTCTGGTGACACGAGTAAAATGATCCAAGAATTCGTGGAATATTTGGTAAAAATTAGTCAAGAAAGTTATGTCTTGTTGTTGGATCTGTTTGCGGATGTGTTTCGTCAAATTGAGGAACGAGTTAATCAGGTATAATTCACACGTATTAGTATATTTCATATCCTTAATATTATTTCTTATATCTTTAGGCGAGTGAAAACGAGGAGGTAAATGGTGAAATCCCTATTTTTTATACTGTTGAACTTATATCATATTTCCTCTATTTTAGCCAAATTCAGAGGAGCAGCTGGTAGAATGTCCGATGGGGTTGGATAACGAGGTAAACTATATATTTGGTCTATTAGATGTTTATAATATTTGTACTTATTATGTTGTATATTTTCAGGAAAGGGAAGTAAGTGATGGCGAAGTGGTTGGGGACGAAGTGAATGAGGACGAAGCAGAAAAAACCCACCCACTGGAAAAGTTGGTCGAGAAGTTGGAACTTTACTTGATGGAACTCCCTGTGATCGGTTTCAACTCGGGCAAGTACGATATAAATGCTGCTAAGAACCCATTCTTTTCTTACCTAGTGAAACACGAGCAAGTTAAGTTTGTGATAAAGAGAAACAACAATCATATGTGTCTTAAGACGCAACACTTAAAGTTTCTCGATATCACAAACTACTTGGCCCCCGGTTTCAGTTACGAACAGTTCCTCAAGGCTTACGAGTGTTCCCAGACAAAAGGCTACTTCCCTTACGAGTGGGTTGATTCCCTTGGAAAGTTGAACAACCCAGCCCTACCACCACGCGAAACCTTCCATTCCAATCTGTCCGGAACCGATATCACCGAGGAACAATACCGGTATTGCGAGCGTGTATGGAGGGAACAGAATATGACAACTTTCCGCGACTTTCTCGTGTGGTACAATAACTTAGATGTCGTACCTTTCCTCGAGGCTGTCCAGAAAATGAGTAATTTTTGGCAAGAAAGAAACATTGACATTTTCAAAGATGGAGTAAGTGTGCCTGGCTTAACTATGAAATACTTGTTTTCAAACATTCCAGGCACCTACTTCTCCTTGTTCAGCGACAAGGACAAGGATATGTACTATACCATGAAAGACAATAACGTAGGGGGCCCAAGTATTATCTTTAACAGGTACCATGAGAAAGGGAAAACATCGATACGGAAGGAAGAAATGCGAGCCAAAGGAAAAGAATCGAAACCCTGTAAAAATGTGGTTGGATACGATGCCAATGCACTGTACCTCTGGGCCATCATGCAGAATATGCCGACGGGGCAGTACACAAGACGGTTAGAGGAAGATGGGTTCAAGATAAGATGGAGTGGAAAAATGGCAATAGAGTGGTTGGAGTGGGAAGCGTACCAGCGGAGAATACAGATCAGACACGAGTACAACAACACGGAGAAACGAATTGGCGCTCGTCGTCTCCCCGTTGACGGTTTCCACGCTGAATCACAAACGGTGTTTCAGTTTCATGGTAAGTTGAAATTAGTTAAGATTAATTAGCTAGGATTAAGTTAATTGTGTGGGAGTAAGTTAATGAGTTTTTAGCGATTGCGTGGGCTTGCAGGATAATTTATTTTTCTTTTGTAGGTTTAACTGTATTGTACTTTATTCTACTAGGATGTTATTGGCATGGCCACAACTGCCAACTTAACGAAGGTAAAGAAGTCAACGAGAAGCGTGATAAGCCCATGAAAGAACTCCTTGAAGAGACAAAAAGAAACAGTGCCTATATCACGAAGCAGGGATTCAATCTCGTTGAATGTTGGGAATGTGAGTGGCGAGATATGAAGAAACGAAACAGCGCGCTGCAACGATTCATCGCCACCCATCTGCGTCGACCACTGGATAAAGTGAAAACCATGACCAAACAGTCCATTATCAACGCAGTGAAGAATGATAAACTATTTGGATGTGTGGAGTGTGATATCCACGTACCTGAGAGTTTGCGAGAATACTTCAAAGAGATGTGTCCCATCTTCAAGAATACCGAAATACGTCGAGAAGACATCGGTGAGTTCATGAAGAGCTATGCCGAAGAAAACAACATCATGCCCCGACCTCGGCGGAGTCTCATTGGAAGTATGATCGGAAAGAAGATAATGTTGGCAACGCCTCTTCTAAAATGGTATTTAGAACATGGTTTAGAGGTACGTTTTAAATATTAAAAACTTGTAAAATTGCAGGAGAAATTTTTTAACAAATTGTATTATCGTTTTAGGTAACACACGTCTACCAGATAGTCGAGTATACCCCTAAGCCATGCTTCAAACCTTTCGGTGACGCTGTATCGGATGCTCGTCGTGCTGGTGATGCAGACCCCTCCAAAGCCATCATCGCGGACACGATGAAATTGGTCGGGAATAGGTGAGTTTTAAAATCACGCTGTTGTGACGTATTCAAGAAATACTCATTTTTTGTATTTCTATACAGCTCATACGGGAAGACCATCACCAACAAAGAGCGTCATCGCAAGGTGGATTACTGCAACGATGATGAGGTTTCTGAATTAATCAACTCACCATTCTACCGCCAAATGAACGTGATCGACGATGACACCTACGAAGTGGAAAGTGCTAAGAAGAAAATTAAGTTGGACTTACCACTACAGGTATGTATTGCATGATCATTTTGTCATTAGAAATATAAATTAATAAATTATTCTTATTTTACAGGTGGGGTTCTTCGTGTACCAGTATGCGAAACTCCGAATGTTACAGTTTTACTACGACTGCTTAGATACATACCTTGACCGTTCCGATTATGAGTATTGCGAGATGGATACAGACAGTGCCTATATCGCTATTAGTGGTGAAAGTGTTGAAGAATTGGTCAAGCCTGGTTTAAGAGAGGCGTTTGAGAACGATAAATGTAACTGGTTTCCTCGCTCCGATACAACTGAACATGCGAAATACGACAGGAGAAAACCGGGATTGTTTAAAGTGGAATGGGAAGGGGATGGAATTGTATCTTTATGTAGTAAGACGTATTATTGTTTTGGGGAGAAAGATAAATATAGTTGCAAGGGTGTAAATAAGAAAAATAATGTAATTAATAAAGATAAATATTTAGATGTGCTTTTAAGTAAACGTAGTGGGTCGGGTGTAAATAGGGGTTTTAGGGTTTTAAATAATACTATGTGTACATATGTTCAAGTTAAAAACGCTTTTAGTTATTTTTATCCAAAACGTAAAGTTTTGGAGGACGGTGTGTCAACAATTCCTTTAGATATTTAGTTTGTAAATAGTCAATATATATTTTTCAAAAACATGTTGTGTATTTCTCTCTCCCCCTCTCCCATGCAGAGTTTCAGGGACAAAATAAGTCCCGCACGGGACAAGCAGTCCCGCAGGGACACTTTGAGCGTTTCCGGGACTTCCGGGACAAAAAAAGTCCCGTGCGGGACATTTATATAAGAGATGGGAGTCAGGTAAGGTCTTCATTCTACATCATGCCTCGAAAGCGTAAAGACTGTCCGATTTGTGGTAAGAAAAATTTGTTGAAATTATCTAACCATTTAGCAGGTGTTCATGAACTTTCCACCGCACAAAGACAACCTTTCCTTATACGTGCCAAATGTGCACCTTTGGACTTGGAAGTAGTTTTAACTGAATTGTATAGACTCATAGGACGCATGATATAAATAGTGACCATCAAAATATATGATTTCATTTTCAACATGTACTCCATACAGTTAACACACCCGTTTGGCCTTCTCGTGTCTGGGAGCACAAAGTCAGGCAAAACTACATTTGTGAAAAAAACTTTTGAGTTATGTTAATGTCATGATAGACAAACCTCCAGAAAACATTGTGTATTTTTATGCCGAGTACCAAGATACGTTTGGAGAAATTCAAAATTTAGTGCCTGGAATAAAATTTGTAAAAGGTTTACCTGATGATATACTGGATAGTATTAATCCCGAAACACGCAATTTATATGTCATTGATGATTTCATGGGTGAGAAGGACGGAGTTATTTCAAAATTATTCACGAAAAAATCACATCATGGTAACCTGAGTGTGAGTGTACATTGTACAAAATTTATTTCATCATAGCAAAGAACACCGTACAATTTCTCTCAATGCAAGTTATTTATGTTTAACGAAAAACGTGCGAGACGCAAGTCAAATTATCCATCTCGCTAAACAACTGTATCCCAGTAACACCAAATTTTTTCAACAAGCCTATCAACTGGCAACCAAAGATCCCTATTCTTATCTATTTGTCGACCTAACTCCTACGTGTCCTGACGAGATACGGATTCGATCCGGGATCTTTCCAACCGATACGCATTATGTCTATCAACCCAGAGTATAAGAAAGTGGGAACGTGTGTAAAATTTTCATTTGATCATGTCTGCTTGTATGACGAGGAACTCCGAACTTCTGAAAGTATTGGCCAAGTGTAAACCTGAACTGAGAAAAGCTATTTTGAAAGCGGCTGAAGACGATCTGTTTGAAGCTATAAGACAGTGTCTATTAAACGTTTGGTTTGACACGATTAAACTGAAACCGAAAACAGCTAAAAAACTTGCACCGCATTCCAAGCATATAAAGTTTGCGGCTGACAAACGAAATCCTATCGTAAAAAGAAGAACCCGTCTAGTCCAAAAAGGGGAGGGTTTCCTACCGTTTCTACTCACTTCAGTTTTGGAACAGTTGTCTAACTTTTTATAATGGAGCACGTCAAGCGATTAGTACTTGTCCTTGAACATATGGCTGAACAGCGAAAGAAACCTCTCGCGGCGCCTTTGGCGACACAGGTCAACGAAATAGATTCGGACATGCAAGATATTATTCGACGACAAGATATACCAATTGATGAAAAGGCAAAGTTATACGACCAGAATCTACAACGCTATCTAACCTTTTATGATAAACGAATGAATAAACCTCTCCGAGTAAACGTGACGCACACCGATAAACCTGAAGAACCTCAAGGAGAACCTCAAGGAGAACAGCCGAGTGAAGAGACTGAACCTTCAGACGAGATTGAAACAGATATCATGGATAGTGTACCAGCTACTATGAAGTCAAGAGCTCGACAACTCATCAAAAAACTCAAGTCAAATAAAGATCTTGTTGGTTGGAATGAACAAGGCCAGATGGTTTTCAAAGGAAGATCGGTTCCTAGCACAAATATAGTTGATTTGGTAAATGATTCTCTACGTCAAAGGAAGAATTTCAACCCCGACGGTTGGGAATTGTTTTCAAAAGTTCTCGGACATTTGAATGTACCCGAAGGTGTTGGAATTGTTCGCGAATATAAAACCAAAGGTATCCCGGAAAATCTTCCCACCACCCCTCGAGTGCAGCAAGAAAGGAGGAAAAAACGCAGAGACAATATTAGTAGTCCATATAAATGGTTAAAATAATTTATTTCTTGTAAGAGAAAATGTTACAATAAAATGTATTTAAAACTAAATCTAGTGTTTGTACCACTTGTCTATAAAATCACGCACAAGCTCATCGTTCCATTCTTTGCTATCCGTAAACATATTTGCAATGGTTGACATTGGAATACGTCTACATCGATGTAAAGCAAAGAATAATGTATATTGTCCACACACGTCTGATGAAGGGGCTTGCAAAATTCT